TTGACTCAATAAACGTCTTTTAGTGCTTCATCCACTTTCTTTGGCTTAAGTTGAGAAATTAGAGCCACGTGAGAATTGAGCTTTTGAAATCTTCTAGTAGTGATTCCTTCCTGTGGATTTCCAATAATGAATTTGTGAAGATATCCAGGTTTACTTTTCCATTCATTTGGGATGGTTGTGGTTGGTTCCCTTTCCTCAGTAGTTGACTGTTCTGTTGAAGAAGATTCTTGGACTTCATTATGTTCCTCAGTTGACTGATTTTGCTGACCAGTTGACTCCTCTTGACAGTCTTTTCCTGTAACAACAGATTTTGGAACAATAGAAATTTCCTCATCTTCGGGAAGTTTTTCATTCCTTGAGTGAGGGTTAGTATCAACAAAAACAACATGAATTGATTCTTCAATACATAAGGTTCTTTTATTGTAAACTCTATATTCTCTACTTGAGGGAGAATATCCAAGGAATATACCTTCGTCGCTTTTTGGATCAAGCTTACCCAGATTGTCCTTTCCATTATTGTGAATGAAGCATTTGTATCCAAAAGGATGGAAATAACTAATGTTGGGTTTTTTACTATTCCATAGCTCATATGAGGTCTTTTTAAGAATGGGTCGAATCAAACATTTGTTGATAATATGACATGTTGTGCTTACAGTTTCTACCCAGAAGTGGTAAGGTAGAGAGTTTTCCACAATCATGGTTCTAGCCATGTCTTGTAAGGTTCTATTTTTACGTTCTACCACTCCATTCTATTAAGGGGATCTTGGTGAAGAGAAATTATGAGAGATTCCTTGGTCATTGCAAAAGTTTTCAAAGGCCCTGCTTTCAAATTATCCTCTGTGATCACTTATGATAGAGGAAATGTAGTATCCATTTTCACGTTGGACCTTCTTACAGAAAACTTTAAAATTTCTTAGGGCTTCATCTTTATGACTTAGAAAAATAATTCACGTAAATCGAGAAAAATCATCCACGATAACAAAAGCATATTTTCTACCACCTATACTAGCAGTTCTGGATGGACCAAACAAATCCATATGCAATAGTTGAAGTGGTTTAGTAGTAGAATCAATGTTTTTGATTTTGAAAGATGAGCGAGTTTGTTTTCCTTGTTGACATGCATCACAAATATGATCTTTTAAAAAATCTAGCTTTGGAAGACCAATGACAAGATCATGTTTAGAAAGTTTTTGGATAGTATGCATGCTAGCATGTCCAAGCTTTCTATGCCAAACCCAAGGGTTATCGATCACAGAAGCAAGACAAATTTGATTTCCAAGACTATCTATATTACTGATAGTGTACACATTCTTGTCTCTGTTACCTGAAAGAATGACTTTACCTGATTTGTCTTCTATAAACCAGCCATGTTTCTTAAAACGATCCTCATAGTCATTGTCACATAGTTGACTGATACTGAGAAGATTGTCACCGAGTTCATCAACCAGGTATACTTCGTCCACATCACATGTTGAGCTTAGAGGAAGTTTTCCAACTCCAATAACGTTTCCTTTTGATTTATCTCCAAAGGTAACTGTTCCTCTATCTAGTTTGGTGATTGTTTTGAATAATTGTTTGTCACCAGTCATATGTCTGGAACACGCGTTGTCAAGATACCATTTTCCTTTTCGATTCTTCTTGCATTGTTCCTGCAAAACAAGATTACTTATTTTTAGATACCCAAGCCTTCTTTGGTCCTGAATGGTTAGATTTATGAGTGTTATCTTAACTAGAGGATTTAGGTTGCCAGACCCATCTCCTGTTGTCCTTGAATCTGCAATAGTTAGAAGTGTGACCACGTTTTCCACAATAAAAACACGACGGATTATTGGGATTTTCAGAGCCTTTTTCTGCTCAGATTCTGTTCCTACATTGGTTACTGTTGTGACCATTTTTACCACAGTAAGAGCATGCATGAAGGTTTCTAGTTCTAATAAAATAGTTAAGAGGAGTGGTCGGATTTAATTTGACAGAACTATAACTAGTGGATTTTTGTAATCCATTCAGTTGAAGTTGAAGTTCATTTACTTCCTCTTGAAGCATGTCACGCTCAATTTCACACACTTCCAGCTTCAAGGCCCAGTCCTTTTTTTCTTTTTGGATTTTTCCGAGTTCATTTAGAACTCTTTCAATATCTGCAAGAGCAATATTAACAAATTCTTGAAGTTCACAACAGTTAGGACAAGTTGGAAGACGTACCTCCCTAGTTCCCTCGTCTGCCATAAGACCAAGTTCACCTGAGTCCTCATTGTTATCTTCTTTTATGGCCATGAAACACATATTTGCAATTTCTTCAACGTCAGATTCTTATTCATCACTCCACGCTCCAAAAGACTTCTTCTTTTGAAAGTTCCTGCTGAGTTTTGTTTTCAGTATGGGACAATAAGCTTGAATGTGCCCATGTTTTCCACATTCATAGTATCTTCCATTATTTTTATCATTTTCATTATTTTTCCTTCCTCTTCTGAAGTTTGATTTCCCTCATTTGATGTATCTGTTCTTCCTCATCATGCTAGCTACAACTTGAGAAAGCATGGCTATGTTTTCATCATGTTCTCCTTCTTCCTCTTCTTTTTCATTTTCTGGTTCAGCCATAGTTGTTTTAAAGGCTGCTGCTTTCTTCTTTTCTTGTTGAATTTGCATGTCCAAGTGATTTTTCTCAAAGGCAATTAAATCACCTCTAAGTTCATCATAGGATATTTTGTCAAGGTCTTGACATTCCAGAGCAATAACTTTGGGCTGCCAGATTATGGGTAGACTTCTAAGGATTTTTCTGACATGTTCTCCGCTTTTTATTGGTCTACCAAAGAATTTTAGATCTCCAAGGATTTTGCTGAACCTAGAGAATATTTCTTCCATTGATTCTCCATCCTTCATTTGAAATAGCTCATAGTCACGAACTAGAAGATTGACCCTTATTTCTTTTACCTTGCTGGTTCCTTCATATGTGATTTTCAATTTATCCCACATTTCCTTGGTAGTTTCACAACTTGAAATCATTTCATACTCTTCTCCACTGATAGCATTATACAATAGATTTTTTTTGCTTTGGTATTCACTGTTATAACACCAGCCTGTTCATCAGTGTAATCATCTAAGTCAAGTGGATCATTTGATACAATGATTTGATCATTTGCATCTTTCTTTGGTGGAATTGGAAGATTTTCCTTTTTGATAACACGTCAAACTTTGATGTCATATGGTATAGTGTATGTTTCTATGCGAACTTTTCAATGAGAAAAATGTTGTCCATTGAAATATAGAGGTCGTACCTGAGAGGTTCCTTCTTGAAATAATGCATCGATGACTGTGGTTGATCCCATGATCTTTTCCTCACTAGCTATTAAGCAAAGTTTGTGAGTCTTGCTCTGATACTAATTGAAAGTACAAGAGAGGGGAGGGGTAAATTGTGGACTATTAAAACTTAGTTGACTAAGATTTAGTTTAGTCGACTAGTGTTCGTACAGTACACAGATAAGATAGAGATGAATGCAATAAATTTGAAGGCAAAACAAGACACAACAGTTTAGTACCGGTGTGGTACTTACGTCCAGTTTTCCTTGGGTTACAAGGGTTCTTTTAGACCTTGATAAATAATTACAACAGTGATAGTTTTGGTTCGTTCACCACCAACGATGTTTAACAACAATGATTTCTAGATGTTGACACAACTCTCGTTTGTGTTCTAACTCCTTCTATCTTTATGACACTTGTAGACTTAAGAATACATTGTTTGTATTAAGATTTAGAGAGACTTAGATGACAGTGCTTGTAGTTGCGCGCTTCACTCCTTGAGTTCGCCAGTGTTCTTATAGGCAAGTATTGCCGTGTGTTTTGTGTTTGATTCCAGCAAGGTGTCTCTGATTCTTTCAAGGGAGATGGGTATTGGATTCGAGAAGGGTGCCTCTGATTCCTTCAAGAGAGATGTGTTGGAATTTTTTAAACCATGGAGTGCTCTGTTCTATTTCAAATGGTCTTCATTTGGTGGGGTGGATTAATTAATCCAAGGAGTGCTCCATGTTTTATTAAAGAAAGAAGCATCACTTCCAATTGTCTCCAACTATGATGTGTTTCCCATCCAAATTGTCTCCCATTTCTTTTGACCTTTCTTCTTGATCTTTTTGGCTTGAGTTTCTGCTGAATCTTCTAAGATTTGGTTTCCTTTTTGATAGCTTCTTGTCCTAGCATCAGCTCCTTCTGTTTATGCCTTGATCTCTACGGTCAAAGTAGATAGGTATTAGTTTTGCACAATTGTCATCATTGAAACTTAGATAATAACATTGTTTCCTTTCTTGGTTTTCTAATTTTTATAAATTTTATAAGTTGTACTTCTTCTATCCCAATTTATGTAATATAATTACACTTATAAAAGTGAGATAAATTTTTATTATCGTAATTTTTATATATCTTTATATAGTTTAAATTGTTAATTATTATAAGTTAAATATTTTATGTAAATTTTTGATATATAAATTTTATTTTAAAAACTTAGAGATTTAACGTTAAATTCACATAAAAAATAAATATTTTGACCGTTTTACACTGAATCGTCTCACATAAAATGGGGGATAGAGGGAGTATGTAGTTGTAGAAAAAAATATTTATACAGTACAATTAAATCACTTATAAAATAACTATAAATAAGTTTCTATATTAAATAGAAATTAATAACCGGATAAATCGATAACTAATTTTCTTATAGAGTTTAACTAATTCTATTAACAATATAAATAATATTCACGCTATAAGATTAACTTTACATCTTGTAGCAAATAATATACATTATTTTTAAGATTATAAATCTCAATTTTTATGAAAGATTAGTTATGATATTTTTTGAATGATTCGATAGAATAAATATTCTTTACATTACTTGAGCATATAAATTAAACTTACTTTTAATAATATGTTAAATTACAAAATTACAACAAATATGTTTTTGTGTGTGCTTGTTTTAAATCCATTTATATACTTCCTTGTCCCTCTCTATCTCCAAAAAAGAACCCCCCTCGTTGACATCAGTATTTTCTCTATATATACTCTCACTTTCTTTACACTTTTAATATTGTTCTATTCATAATCATGCAAAGCCGTTATCAGCCTTTATCTGACGGCGGAGTAAGGTTAGAACTAACCCCCACCACCAATTCACCGTTAGCCATCGACGTAACAGAGTCGACGGAGATGAGAATCCGGCGATTGATCTCCGAGAATCCCGTCGTGATCTTCACCCGTTCCGCTTGCTGCATGTGCCACGTCATGAAACGGCTGTTATTATCCGCCGTTAGCGTTCACCCCATCGTTATCGAATTGGAGGAGGACGAGATCGCCGCCCTGCCTTGCAGTGCCGCCGCCGCCGAGTACGGTGGTGGTTATGGGCCGCCGGAGATGTTCATAGGAGGGACACATGTCGGTGGATTAGAGAGCCTTGTGGCACTTCACCTTAGTGGTCGACTTGTTCCTAAGCTTGTGGAAGTTGGTGCTATCACAGATCATATGGTATTGTAATTAAAGAATTTTCATTATGTTTCTAAATTTGTAATTACGTATTTTAAAAAATAAATAAAAGTTTAATTAGGTTAAAAATAATAGTTTTTGTATTACTATTAGTTTTATGTTTTTAATGTATTGTTAGCCTTTATAATTGTGCTTTTACAGGCTATATATTCTCTCTATTTGATCCCAAATGGTCCAAAAGTTAAAGAAGAAAATGATTTTTTAAGTTTATTTTTAAACTTACTCTTTGGATTTTAGAATTTACTCTTTTTATTGGAATGTGAAATGGACTTGATAGTGCAGCTATATGTAATACTATTTCCGGTCAATATAAGAATTGTGAAATTCCAGAAAAAAAAGTAAAAAAATAAAAATAAGTAAAAATGGTATTTGAAAATTAGAGTTATATTTGGACATAAATACAATTTGAAGTTTTTGAATTTTGTGAGTGATTTAAAGTAAAAATTTTCAAAATAATTTTTTCGAGTTTTTCAAATTCTCGAAAAAGTTCGAAATTCAGCTTCAAATTTTCCCGGTCAAACATTGATTCCAGGAAAAAAGTGAAAATTTTCCCAAAAAAATTAAATTTGTTTATAGCCAAACGGTCCTTAGTAATTACTGTATTGCAAAAACTAAAATGATAAAATAAATTATTCTAGTAGTAATAATAGTTTTCTGTTTTGAATGAATTGTTAGCCATCATACTTGTACTTTTAGCCTTTTTATTTACAGGCTATAATCTGTATGTTTGGTTCCAAATGGCCAAAAAGTTAAAAAAACAATATATAGAAAATAAAGAGGGGTGTCCTTTTCCTTTTTATTTTTTTGTTTTAACTTTTTCTGGGGATTTTGGAATTTTCTTTTTTATATTGGAATGTGAAAATGACTTAATGGGGCAGCGCTATATAATACTATTTCTAGTCAATTCTTAGTTTGCTTTGAATATCCCAACTTGTTTGGGGGATATTCTTCAATTAGTTTTAAGTGTTAAAAAATATTATAGTGACGTAATATAATTTCGGGGGTCCAATATTTCCGTTTTCTTTTTCAAAAATTTTAATATTAATATTTTGATAATTTTTAATTAATTTAGTTTGGACCAATCATAATTACTACTGCTTTGTTAATGCCAAAACTTTAGTATATAATTATAACAAGGTGCTTCCCTCACTACTGTAATGATATCTCAGAGTAGTATTTCATATAAGTCCCTATTGTCTCGTTATTTAGAATATTAATAGTCTTTCTTTAATTTGTTTGAATCAGAGAAAATAAAAATAAAAAAGGATTTTCGACATGTATGTTTTAAAACCTTCTATTTCGAGCAAATATAGGAATGTTGTTTTCGTATTCTGTTCATGTGCAGATAATTTAATGCATGATATGAGTTTTTTCAGATTTATCACTTGGTTAAGTTAATTAACATGTGTTTTATTTTAATTTTATCACTTAATTATGATAAATGAGCATAATTTGATACATGTCCAAAGTTTGAGCAGAGTATCTTTGAATTTTCTATGTCCCAATTTATGTGATATTCTTTACTTTTTTATATTAAATAATAAATTAACTTTAAATTTCTTATTTTACGTCTAATATAATAATTTATAGCCACAAAAAAAATTATGGCTTGTTTTAAACTACAAATTATATGAAATAAAATTAAAAAAACTCACTCTTATATATCCCATGCCCAATCAAATACTATCTATAAATTGCCCACTCGATGATTGTATAAGGGGGACAAAAGAACGATAAAATCAAACTAGTCTTTCTGCACTGGTTACACATCGATTAATACTATAGAATATTCGTTATTTCCCGTAGTATATATATCGAATAACTACGCTCCTCAAAATTTGGACAAATATGGCCACATCACCAAATATTTTTGCATATGAACTTAAAATTTTATAATTCTTAATTCATTTCAACGACCATTATATCATGTTCTTGAGTGTTTGATCTTCTTCTTTTTTTTAGTGGCAGTTTTTTTTTTTATACTTTTGGGAATATAAATTTAATAATTACAAGAAATTCCTCTTCTTCTTTTTTTTTTTACGTGAATCTCACGAATGTGATTCTCATATGAAATTTTTATCTACAATATGTCACAATTGTACGAGACAATATTCATGTTCTGTCAACTTTTAGCCTGTCACAACACACATGCATGTGTTTGCACACTCACAAACAAACAGAGAAGATCTACACATATTTTGTACAAAATTTATGAGGAAACAAAAGGATAGATAATGTACTTCTTATAAATGAGACATATGACTGTAGTATTGATTGTCTTATGTTCTAAAGCTTGTACTGGTTCCAAAATGTGGCTAAGACTAGGGTTGTACAAATGCAAAATTTAGACTCGAGCCATTTTGAGTCACCGTGCTGTACAAAAAAAATTTCATAAGAAGTGTCAACATTTAAATAAATGAACAAATGAAAAAATCACAGTAGCAAGTTTTTCTTTTTTTAAAAAAAAAACAAATTGAACCTTATATCTCGATTAAATAAAGATGACACTACCATTGTTTTAAAAGGTGGAAGCGTGAGACACTACATGTTTCTTAAGTCGGCAAAGGCTCTATCACTACTAAAAAAAGGGAAAATCGATTGCAAAAAACTGATCGTCGGCAATTGGCAAAATTGACCGAAACGGATCGATTAGTGGAGGTCGGTAATCGTGTGGCCGGTATAGCCAATCTATTGACTTTGGTATAATGCACCATCTGAGAATTGAACCAAGGTCTGTAATGTGACAAGATAATATTCTACCACTAGACCATTGGTGCATTTTGGTTTAAGACTTTCTTTTATTTTATTTACTCTTTAATTGTATTTTTTGCGCGAAAATAACCGACCGATTCTGTCGGTTTTTTAAAAAATAAATAAATTTACCGATAGAAATAGGTTGGTTTTTAAAAATGACCAGCCGAAAAAGTCGATCAATTTCGGTCTATTTTTTTAATATTAATTTTAATTTATTTTAAATAAAAAACTTACCAAAGTCGGTTGGTTCTTTGAAAAATAAATTTCGCGTGACGCAAAAATAGTTTCCCGTATTTTTGAAAAACCGACCTGAATCGGTTGGTCGGTTTTGGCCGAATTTGTAGTAATGCATATATATAGATCTTTAAAATTTTAGTTTATAAGTTAATGAAATAGCATAATAACAAAAATGATAGAAAATACATTAAATCTACAAGACAATATTCATGTTCTGTCGACTTCCTTTGTCACACATGCATGTGTTTGTAATCAAAAAGAAACGAAAGACCTTTTGAACAAATTTAGTAGAATATAATACAAAAGGATGGATAATGTACTGCTTATATATGAGACACACACACACATATATATATATATATATATATATATATATGACTGTAATATTCTTTGTCTTCTGTTCTAAAACTTGTACCGCTTCTTAAGTGTGGCTAAGATAGAATAGGATAGCAGTGAGCTAGAATTTTTACTAAGGAAAATTAAAATATAAACAAACAACCAATGAAAAAGTCAAAACAATTCAATATAGTATATATATATAATTGACTTTTCCGGCAAAAGAATGTCAATTGACTCTCCTTGAAACGAGGGTAGCTCCACCCAGAGGCGGATCCAGAATTTGAAGTTTATGGGTTCCTACCGTATGGATTCACAGTTAGATATTTATAAATATTTAGTGAATTTTTTAATATAAATACAGGGTCTACGCAAAAGTTATTGGATTTCCGGGAACCCGTAACCAATGCTCTAGCTCCGCCTCCGGCTCCGCCCCAGTGTGCAATTGAGAAGTTTTTCTCGAGCCAATTTGAGATGCATGGTTCTCACAAGCTTGAAAGTTCTATAATAGACCCTTTGCAACAAAGTTAAAGATATCAAGCCATCTTTTTTCTTTGGTTTTAATTAACCGAGGTGTTTATAGTTTTTTTTTAATTTTCTTCCACATGTAACAGGGAAATGAAGTTTACAATTGGCATCGGTATTTATATCAAATCAAATAATATAATAATAAAAGTTACAATTTAAATTACAGATATAAATTACTTAATCATTATCGAGTGATAAAAAATAAAAATTTACATACAAGACACATCTGCATTAATTTACTTGATGCAAACCCGGATGAAATATTATACACCGGAAATGTCAAAGAAAATGCAAAACTGAATTCATTAACTTTTTCCCATTTCAGGTTTAAAAGGGAGATGGGAAATAAGAGGCCTATATATGAGGAAGGAATGCCCATAAACATGAACGGTAACTAGCAACAACACAACTATTTGTTGCTAGTTTCCACTTTAAACAACTTGAGTTTAAGTAGTATATACTGTTAGGGTAGTTTGGTACTATGGATAAGCAAAAACGTTCTGGGATAAAATTTTAGTTTTGTTTTATTCTTTATTCGATTATTAATTATGGGATAAGTTATTTCAAGATTAAAAATAGTACTAGGATTATTTATACATGTCAGAGTGTGGAATAGTAATCTCAGGATAAAGCAGTAAAAATGACAATCCCGGGATTAATACAACATACCAAACAGTCAATAAAAAATAATACCAGAATAACTAATCCCAACATAATTAATCTAGTATAACCAATTCTAGCATAACTAATCTCAGCATAACTTGTCTTCAAACCAAATGACTCCAATAACCTAATGCCATAAAATTTATTTACACTAACGGTGTATATAACTTAAACTATAAGGGGTTGTCTGATAAGATGTATTAAGAAAAATAATACATATTATTATTCTCTTGGTATTATTTTTCAAGCAAGTATTAGTTATACAACATATTCAGTATTATTCTTATACATAGCAAATCATGTCATTAGCAATACTATAATTTTTTAATATATGGATAAGCATATATAAAGACAGAACGACTCTTTTAAAACCTTTAATATATCAAACCAAACAATCGATAAGAAATAGTGTCAATATAACTAATTCTAATATAACTAATCTCAATATTACTAATTAATCATATTAAATACTATTCTAATACCCTAGCAAACGACCCAAAAAAAAGCTTTAAGCACTGCTCCCAGTAGACAAAACCCCTCCAAATTTGATAATGCAAATGAATGGTTTTT